TATACATACAGTTTAATGCACTAATTATGGTAAAATAAATCTTATAATTATAGCCATAATTTTTGTAATTCAGATCTATAATTTTTGCCATTGATAATCAGTCGGATTGATCTGGTGAGTCCGTCAAGTTAAACTTAAAATTAGCATAATATGAATGTGTTCTGATTTTGCCACTGTTAATCTTATAACTCTTGTTTCATTTCAACAAGATAATTAGAATTCACGTGTTCCTTAACCAAAAACAACAAAAGATAAAAATAAAGATATAAAATAAATATGTTTATAATATAATTTTGAAGTTATTATACTTTATGTTAACAGAAAGTATAAAAAGATACGTCTTTTCCCTACTTGTTATCTCCATTTCAATCTCCATTTGTGTGCAAATTAACCCAATTACACCTCTTGCAAATTGAAAAGGGCAGTCATTTCCAAATGGAACTGGTCGGTCTCATGCCTTCACTGTATCGTATACAAGAACCCCTCCCAGAAGGAGCTTCCACTGAGAATTCCTAGTATAAAACGCAACCTTAGTTGAAATAAGTACCATGTGCGTAATCCTCACCGTATTACCAAGTCCAGTCCTCTAGCAAGTTGTAATAGTAATTCAAGTGGTCACACACCGCAGACAACACACGTCATTTAACTGTTTTCAACTCCCTCAAACGTGGGTGCCTTGCTTCTCTTTTATCTCCTCCTCCACTCGTTAAAAAAGTTCCATAATCTTTCAAAACTCAACTTGTCTTCTTTCAATTCAATGTCCAGAGCGTGAACATGAACTTGGCTACACCTAGTAGTAATCAAAACCAAAGCCTCCTCTACTCTATTGTCCTCAAGTTGAAAGCTTTCTGCTTGTTCTATAAGTAGCGCATCTTTTTTCTTATGCTTACATTTATTCCCTCATCAAGTATGGCAACTATGACATCGTCTAAAATTCTCGTTTTGGCCCTTGCTTTCTTCTTTACATGCATTGAAGGAAGAGTTCATGGAAAAACTAAACCAAAACACTTGCACATTGTTTCTCTGATTTCACTACCACCTGCTCCTCAGGCTGCTAGTCCAAGTTACTGTACAGATTCTCCAAGTCCTGGTCCTAGCCCTAATCTTGTTCGAAGTCTTGCCAACGTCTACAATGTACTATCTTTTGGTGCTGTTGGTGATGGTGACACAGATGATACAAAAGCATTCAAAATGGCTTGGGACACTGCTTGCTTTCAGAATAAACCAGCCATTCTACTTGCTCCTGATGACTATTCTTTCATGATACAGCCTACTGTCTTTACCGGACCTTGTAAAACTAGCCTTGTGTTTCAGGTAATTTTTTTTGTTATTGAATTGAATTTCAATATAGTACTTAATTTCATGGGCAGAAGGAAAAACTGATTGAGTATTTTGCCTGTAATGAGAAGATTGATGGAACTATAATGCCACCAGATGGGCCTGAATCATGGCCAAGTAAGACGAACAAGAGACAATGGCTAGTGTTTTACAAGATCGATGGAATGTCAATGCAAGGAGGTGGTGTTATAGATGGCAGAGGAGAGAAATGGTGGAATCTACCCTGCAAGCCTCACAAAGTAAGCCATTTTACACAATTTCTTGGTCAGTAAATTATTTTCTTGAGTAGTTCTGTGTTTTTTAATTGCTCTAGCTAACTTGCTGAACTTAGGGGCCTAATGGCGCAACACTTCCTGGCCCTTGTGATAGCCCAGTTGTAAGTACAAAACCAATGCATTCTTTTCATCAAGGGTTTCATGAAAAGTTCTATACCCTTTTATTTTTATCCAAAAATGCAGGCTATGAGGTTTTTCATGAGCTCCAATTTGACAGTCCAAGGACTTGAAGTGAAGAACAGTCCCCAATTCCATTTTAGGTTTGATAACTGTCAAGATGTCACTGTACAAATGCTCAGCATTAAATCACCACCTCGAAGCCCAAATACAGATGGGATTCACATAGAGAACACAAACAATGTCCAAATATACAATTCAGTCGTATCCAATGGTAATTGATTCCATGTCCTTGCACTTGAGAGTTGTTTTTCATCTTTTCTATGAATCACTCTCTAAGTGCATGCCAATTTTCCTCTGTTTTCTACTCTAGGTGATGACTGTGTATCAATTGGAGCTGGTTGTCATAATGTCGACATAAAGAACATTACCTGTGGTCCAAGCCATGGCATAAGGTAATATTTAGTTTAAGCTCTTGCCAAAATTAATACTATCTTCACAAAAGATGAGTACAAAAGTTAGGCGCCTTCAAAGGGATACTTAAGCTCAAATTTCAACTTACTAGCTTCAACTTATGGTGGACCAACATTTTTAATGCTTATTAACCCCCTAATCTAATCAATTAGACCCGGCAACAAATTCCACGAAAATAAAAGAGGGAAATCGGCCTAGCAGCGATGAAGGAATAGAATTTAATGAGTTGGCAGTGTCGTTTATTAGCATTCTATCAAGAGATGTTCAAAAAACTTGGCCACCAATTGGTTTCTGATTTTGTTGCTGCAGCATTGGCAGCCTTGGAATCAGCAACTCGAGGGCATGCGTGTCGAACATCACGGTGAGAGATTCGGTAATCAAGCGTTCTGAAAATGGTGTCCGGATTAAGACATGGCAGGGAGGATATGGTTCTGTATCTAAAATCTCTTTCCACAACATTAACATGGAAACGGTTCGCAATCCGATAATCATAGACCAATACTACTGCCAGACCAAGAACTGCACTAACCAAACAAGTGCAGTTCACATATCTGATATTTTGTACACAAGCATTAAGGGTACATATGATGTTAGGAGTCCGCCCCTGCACTTGGCTTGCAGTGATTCAGTCCCATGCACTAACCTCGAGTTAGCAGAAATAGAGTTGCTTCCTGCTCAAGGCCAATTTGTGGCAGATCCATTTTGCTGGAATGCTTATGGGGCAATGCAGAATCTTACCATCCCACCAATTTCTTGCTTGCTGGATGGAATCCCACAATACATAGGGCAAAACACTATAGATCAGTGTCAGGATAATTTGTATTAGACCTGTATGTAAAGTAGCTAGATGTAGTTACTTGTCGAAGAAGAGAAGGCTATCACTGCATAACATGGAATTAGAGGTTTTAGTTCGAGAAAATCGCACCCTGATCCATGTTATATGAAACCTCTCGAAGAGTTATATCAAACAAGAGCGATGACTATTGGCTATCAGTTCAAGTCTTCCAATCCATTCCAATCCAATTGTATTGATGAATTTTTACACTACAATTAATCTAAGCATAACCATGTCTAAAGATTAGCCCGTGAAAACCATATTTTCTTTTTTCCACCAAAAAAAAAAACTTTGTTGAGGCAAACCTAATAAAAAATGAACTCCTTTATATCGGTAGTTTTAATTTTGCCACCATAAAATTTTTTTATCAAATTTTCCACAAAAATTTCCGATTAAGTCTAAAGTAAAATAATTTAATTAATTACTCAAAGTAGTTGATTACATCTCCTCGTTAGATTACTCTAAGTAAAATAGTTTAATTAATTGGTACAACTAAGTTTTGTTGTGAAGGGTTCGTGGTGTGATTCAAGAAATTACAAGGGCAGGTACCTCATGCACATCTCCTACAACGCTTTTAAAACCCTTTTCCCCCCACTGATAATCATCAACAGCATTCTCTCCTCTCATTTGTTGGACAACTTTGATACTTTTCTTTTATCTCCATCATCTCTTTATGCTTTTCCACCTCCAACTATTGTTTCTTTAAACAGTGGCCATATATGTATTATTGGCCATAGTATCATTACTCTTGACAAAAGGTTTTTTGTGAAAAAATCATGGTATAGTATGATAGTGGTGGTTGACTATGGTAATTAGTGCCGTGTGAGCTAGAGACTAGGCAAATTTCTCCGTCGATGATGGAATTGCACCAAAATTAGTAACCATGACATTGGCAACAACCTTCCACTTAGGATAGTATGCCATGCTGAGAATCCCATGTAGACAATTGCAAATCAAACCAGTCAACAATTTCGACTTGCTGGAGGGGTCAGTGCGGTGCTTCTTGATATTGGAAGACAGACAAGCAGTTTGTATAATTCTTCGAGTAACATAATTGGGATGATGGCTAACAAAAGTGCAATGGGGGTTATGATCTAAAAGAGAACAGGTTGTGATTTCAAAGAATTGATTGTGAATTTTAACGTATTGATTGCTTGATGTATCAATTACGTGACTTGCGAACATTGCAGCATTATTAACATGCAGTTGTCTAATTGTAATATTAACAGATGCCAATGGAGCTCATATCCAAATCGCTGATCGAGAGATTGAGTAATTGTTTTCACTTTTCAGGATGAAGTTTGCTCCTGTGAGGACTTTTGCTAACTTAAAATGAGTGAATACACTTGCTGTGGTATGTTGCCTTCATTTTGTTTTTAAGTCACGAGAGAGGCTTGTTTCTACGAAGCCATGACTATGGTGTTGAAACTGGAATGATTAAAAGGTAATGTATTCAGCATTGTGGATTCTAGTTCAAATTTGAGGAAATCCAACGTGTCAGTTTAAAAGGCTCAAATCATCCAGAGGAAGAAAAGGCATCAAACGTACGATAGCTAGAACTGATGGCAGAAACAGGACGCCAAGAATGGAAATCAGACAGGATTACATGGAAAATAGGACGCCAAATTGCATTCCGTGTGTACCTTTTGAGTCTTGAAATGTAAACTTACCCTTTATATATGAGATGGGAACATGTTTTACCAAACAGGTTTCAAATCTTGAACAGGGTAGAATTTAACTCATTCATCGATTGCCTTAGGAATGGATACCAGAAATGCGGCATCAAGATTGATTGACAACGACGGAGAATGAAAATAAAATAAATTCTTACTTCAATTCATATTCCAGTTTTGAAAAGAAAAGGGTTTATTCAACCATGAGCTATCCACAAAAACCCTTTCAGGAGCAAAGCACAAGTCAGTGGAGGTAGTAGACAAGCAGCATGTACATTGCTACAAAGATAATAGCAAATTGGAATCTTATTAATTCACACAGTAAACTGAGATTCAAGAACATTTCAATCAGAAGCTAAAACCTTTTGGAAAAGGTCGAAGAAAGTACATGAGAAGTCTTTGTGCAACCATAAATACACCTTTTTCATTCACCGTACACTCATCTGTTTATTTGAACATTTCAATACAGGCACCCATCTTAACAATTGTTGTCGATAACAGGATAAGCTCAAATGCTTGTGGTGATAAAGAGCAAGATGGATGCTAATAGATCTTACTAATCCAAAGAAGCAAGTACCTCCAACAAGGAAGCAGCAAATTGCATCTGAGTCTCCTCGTCTATGGTCAAGAAAAGTGGCACATGCACAAAGAGAGACTTTGTCCCATTTTGCTCTGCAAACCGAAGGGAATGGTAGTAAACATAGTTGCACACAAATCGGCCTGCATCATCGGAAGTCATCACCTCATAACCTTTCTTTGCCAGGGACTTTGTGATCTCCTCAACAGGAAGAGTAGTCTGCGTGCAAGTAGATGGTAAGAATAAAGGAAGTGCTAAAATAGTTATCTTGTGAAAGTAGCTGCATCTTTGCAATGCATTCAAAGATATCCAGATATCTCCACATCATACCTAACAGCAGCATTAGAAACCAGCAAGGTATTTTTTGCAACAAAAAGTATCTGCCAGCTTAAAAAAATTGCCAAACAAAGAAAAGAAAAGACGCTGCCAGAAGAGAGGATAGTTTTCTCTATATTTCATTTACTTAATCCGGTTCTGTCAAGGCAACTCCCATATATAATAAAATAGATTCTAGTTTACAAAGACCATATAATATAGTTATAAGCTTCCCCTCATCCAATTTCTCTTCTTAATGCCAAAATAGTTGCAAAGAGAAGAAATATAGGGATCGATAGCCACTGTTAGGTAATTGAATCTAAACTACTGTCACTGCAAATTTCTTTATGTTTCCTTTGCCAATAGCAATTGGACAGCGAATTAGGATGAAGACAGTATAAGTTGTGATGGTTCAGCCCTACAACATTCCAAGAAATAGATGGACACTAAAAAAGTGCCACAAGAAAACAATTAATCGATTGCAGTTTGACACCGTAAACATAGTGATGAGGAAGTCCCAAGTAATGTCAGCTTTCAAACTGAATAAAGCACATCATTCCAAAGTCAAAGTTGGGGCCTCCAATCAAAGAAGGCAAGGCAGCTTGTAGTAAACAAAAAAAGATGAAGAAAAGCCAGCTTCTATTAAACTAAAAATCAATACACACGCTCTTAATACCTCTGCTTTACAAGTAAAGGAACATTGAAAAGAAAAGATTGGTCATGGCACATTCTGCAACTTAGGTGCCATGGAAAAGATAGGATGTAATAGAAAATAAGTTGCCTTGGATACCAAAAACACGGTCCAATTCCAAAGAAAAGGGAAAAAAAATATTTCATAATAAGATAACAAAAAACAAAGCACTACTGGATTGATTATTTATGTTTGCCAGCCGACATTGCATCAACTTTCTGAGAAATAAGGGAAAAGAAAGAGTGCACTGAAACCCAAATATACCTCTCGAACTCGTGAAATTCCACCATCTGAAGGAATGATGGGTACTTTCTGCATACCAAAACAATGGAACTCTTCAAAACGAAGACAGAACAAAGAAAAATCTGAAGGCTCTGAAAACTAAAATAAAAGATCTTAATGTTATGTCTAACCTGTGGTTTCCATCCCATCTCATCTGGACAGCGAAAAGTAGCTTCATTGACAGCTTGATGCTCAATGGCAAATCTTGTTGCCCCACTATTGACCCCAAGGTGTAGCTGAATGAATCATGTCACAAAAACACTATCAAGCGGCATGCAGAAAACCGAAGACCTAGGAAAGAGTCAGACAAGCAGTATGCACGAAGCTGAGAAATGATGTCAAAAGATATATGGATAGCTACCCAAATAATTCTTTCAGGACTTGAAGATTCATAATCCTTCGAGTTTATGGCAGATTGAAATGTCTGGTAAAGTGGAGAAACTCCGCCTTGTCCTGCAGCCTCAAGAACATTGCAACTCCCCAGAACCACACCTTCTGGCATGCCCTTCTTCTTCATGTACTCTTTTAGATTATTAACAATTGTCTCAGTTGGGTTTTCAGCTACTCCATGGAATTTCTTGAACCCTGTCACATGGATTGTTACAGCTGGAAGCCCTTCAGACCCCATTAACACCTCACTTTTTTTAGATTTACTTGATCGAAAAGTTACTATAGCATGGAAATTAAATTGAAATCCAAGCACCTGCAGGAAACAACACAAAAAGTTGAGTGCGTCAGCCACACTATTAAAATCAGTTAAGAATGATAGAACATAGAACTACTACATTTACAATTATAATCACCATTCTAAAACAAATTACAATGCCTTAATACTTTGTTATAGCAAGTGACAAAACGAAAACTGACTCACTCCTTAAACCGAAAATCCTATCAATGGTTGCTTAAAAATTACTGAAACTACATGCTGCAGACATAATTTAGCTACCATGGCAATGCATTTCAATTAAGAAACATTAAATGACTAGAACCTGAAGAATTCTACTCCTGAAACAAAGTTTCACAACTTTCTGTAACTTCGTAAGAAAAAACTGACAATCCAAAGTACTATAGTGGCAGAACCAATAGCCTCAAATCAAGATAAAACACAACAAAGGAGTCAAGTTATATCTTTATTGATCAAAAGAAGATGAACAAGACTAATAACCCATGTCAAGATTCTGCAAATAAATCTCATAGACTACTTCAAATTCAATTAAGTACCACCCAGCTAAAAAAGATCACAAATTTCAAAGGAAAAAAAAAACCCAGATGAGAAAAACCACTGTTAATCCACCTGAACTCAAAATTCAAGTTGATTCACAATCAAGAAACAACTAATCAAGGACCACCAGATAAGCATATACATATAAAGAAAACAATCAAAACCCAGAAATGTAAGAAAACGAAAGGACTAAAAAGCATCTATCTTGAAATTCAAAAAGAAGAAAAAGATAAGACCTTTCATAAATTTTCTTGCCCGTAATCTTCAAAAGAAGGAAAGTAAGAAAGGAAAGAAAAAGGGGGCAATGAATGACTCAACCACCAGGGTTATATATTGAAAAAAAAGAGTTGATTTAACACTAATGAAGAACTGATAAAGAATCCCATCCGTTTGAGAGAGAGAGAGAGATTGAGAGATGAAAAATTAACGAGATATATAGTACTTGGTTTTTTCCATTGTAGAACAAAACAAAGTTTACTGTGGATTAGCGAGTGAAATTATTATTTTGCATTTACGTGGAAAAATTGGAAACCTTGGTGGTAGGGGTCGTTTGATCTTTTTCATGGATTCACCTGACATTAAAAGATGGTTAAATGATATATTAGTTTTATCTATTTTTTAACAAAAAACAAAAAATGTATTTTTCACATTGATTTTTTATAATTTTTAAGTTCATTGAAGATATTCTAGTATTTTTTTGAAATTAGAAAAAATATTTTTTTATTTAAAAAATTATTAATACATGTTTCTTATATTACAATAAGTAGATGGGTTCATATCTTCTAAGTGGCACTTACCGTTACATCTGGTAATTAAATTTGTTTTTTTTGTTGTCTTATAGGAACACCACCACATTGTTTTTCTAATTATGGAGCATGTGGTAGTGGATGATTGGTGGTATGTTGTAAATGATTTTGGATTCTACTTTTTTTATGCGCAATATTATGAGTATAAATATATTTTGAATTTTATTTTTTATGCTTATTAAATATATAAATTTAAAAAAAAAACTTATTATATTTCTATCAACTTTAATATTATATAAAGAATAATATATAAAAGTTCTTTAAAAATTTATCATATTTTCATTAATAGATCATGAATCCACAAGGTTGACTCCAGCCTTGTTTTATATTGAATTTATGAATTTTAATAATTTTTAAAATAATTTATAAATTTTACTTATATCTAAAACAGGGAATGTGGGTATCTAATTGATATCAAGACTCTCTTCTATTTTTTTTTTGCTTAGGTGTGCTATGTAGATATTAAAGCTAGACTATAATGGTAAAGAATTGATAGAGCAAATCTTTATTATCTACTATATATTTATTTTTAGAATATTTTTTTATGATATTATTGTATTTTAAAAAAAACATCAATTTAATTATTAAATAATTTTTAAATTCATAAAAGATGATTTTGTACCAGCATTAAACACTTATCTCTGGCCACTTTAGCTAAAACAAAATAAAATAGATTGTCAGAATCACTAAATTAAATAATTATTGAAAGATTTGTTAAGATATTATCAAGTACATAAGATATTTTTAAAATCATTTAAAAATAATATTTTTGATTAATTTACAAATAAACTTGAAAATAATTTACTATCAAGTAAAAGAAAACTATGGATATTAGGGTAGCAACTGTATTTCAATAATTTCCTCAAATAAAGTAAATTTCAAATCTGTTTAACCATAATTTAAAGGACTAACTATATATATATTTTTTATAATTCACGACCTACTGTGTCTTCAAAGTTCATTATCATATAATACTTATCGTGACGACTATAAAGGCAAAAATCTACCTTCTTAGCAGGCAGAGTAGAAGGGTACTTATGCTTGAGGATGGACTGAGCTCGGGGTCTTCTGGGTTGTGGACTCACTCACTCACTCAAACTATAGGTTATACACCCAGGCTTAAGGATTCATGACATATTTATAAGAAAATACATGGTTAAGGTCCAAAATTATTTCTCAAATATTAAGAAATGCATGGTGGTGGAAGGCAGGCACATGTTCCACATGGAGTGAAAGGTGTATTTAAAGCTGTGTACTCATGTATTCATTGACCCTTCGCAGGTGCGAAAGACACTTTGGTCTGCAGGAATAATAAAAGTTACGACGAGTGTTGTTGTTTTCTTGTTTTCTGCTAGCCAGTGATTTGTCGTGTTTTTTTTTTCTGCAGACTGTGCCTCAAATCTCTTTGCTTTTATCGTCACCAGCCCATATTGTCTCGTTTTATCACCGCCACTACCGCTACTTTGTCTTTGAGTTTTGTCTTAGGGCAATCGCTTGCGTGTACATCACATCAAATCAGACACATTCACAAAGATTAGCTTCAATTCAGCTGATAACACATTACTTTAATGTCAAATGAGTCTATCCATTTTTCTCCATGCCTAGCGCTAAGTGCAGGGCTACGAATTCTTTTTGCTCGAGTTATAAGATAAATATGTATAAATTATTTCTCAAGATGAATCTTTAAATATACTTTGTAAGACTATATTTATTTTGGAAAGCACCAAAGTCAGCAAACCAAACAATGGAGTATAAGATGGGTTCTTTCTTCTGAAATAGAGAAATCCTAAGAAATTTAGTTAGATGGCTAAAGAGAGAGAGGGGATGCTGAAGGCTAAGAAGCCCAATGAGAAGGGATCAAGCTACTAAGAAGTAATGCAGACAGGGCTATTTATAGATATGGTTCCTCCTTTGAGAGGAGATGGGAAAAAAGAAGAAGAAGAAGCTATATTGAGTTTTTTTAGAATTTATTTTTTTACCCGGGCTACAACTCATCTAAACCTTCCATGCCTTTTTTGCCATTGCTATCAACACGGCCGAGGTTGTACTCAAGTTTCTAGACCAAAAACATGCATGGATATAATCGCAATCATGTCCAATGTTTCTAAACATGCATGAAATCTAAACTAAATAGTGAAATCTCTCTCGATTCATTTACTTTCAATAGCAATTAAAGGATTTGGAAGCTTTGGCCCTCGAAGAAGCTGTGATTTTTGCTAATGATGCGTAAGTTGTTATCTAAGGTATTCGTCGTAGGAAATTCAGCCTCAGTGACCTTGTTTCAGTTCCTATGGACACTGCTCCATTAGTTAAACACTTTGATACCTGTCAATTTCCTCGAATAGATATATAATGGGACAGCCCAGGATTAATGTGACCCATAAAATTAACCCTTGTCGATTTGTTTGTCATTAGAAGCAGCTAATCACTCTTTTAATTACATTTAAGAGATTAAACTGATATAATCTAAAGTCTTGATCTGATGATGCAATAGTCCCTTTAAAGGCTAAATCAAGGTTTCCCCAGAACTATATATACGCTCTAGCTCTCACCCTTATTTATTTATTACAAGAACAGAGCACTCCATGCATCATGTAGGCAATGCCTGGAATGTATTAGACTATTGCTTAGAATACCCTTCTTTTTCTGCGCTGAGGAAGAGAAAACAGAGAGGCCAAGTCCTTGCAAAGGCTACAGAGTTTGATTACAGCTTTGACACAGAAAAGACAGAGATGAAAGGAACAGAAAGAACACCTTTTTCCCTGTTTTTTATGTTTTAAAATGATTAGGGATTGCTAAATGATAGAATAGAAAATTTCCCTTGAATGGATAATGATTGATCAACAATGGAGGAAAATAACAGTGGATCTCCATCCCCTGTAATTCATTAAAGAAAAGAAAAACCATCAAAATGCTGTCAATTTAACTATGTTTTTAATTTGATTTTTTTTCAATTAATCTTATTATTGCGTACAATAAAGTAGAGTTGTGATATTATTAAATTCCGATCATATATTCTATTATATTTCGACCGTCATGGATTGGATTATCAACTTGGCTCAATCATGGAGTCAGCTAATTAAACCATAGTTTATTAATCTAGATATTTGCAAATTGCAAGAAATAAAAGAGTGGTTGTTCGTTGACTAACCAATGCTTAAACATGCAGCCGCCCTTATGGATGAGGCCATGACGTGGACAAGGAGCTAATGCATGCTCTATATACTGAGAATGAAAGCATTTGTTGCCTTTATTTTATAAAAAGTGGCTTTTGATAAATTATTTTTAAATTTTTTTTGCATTTATTTATTATTAAAAAATTAATTAGTAAAAAATATTTTTTAGTAAAAAATTATTTTTCATGTTAAAAAAAATTTAACTCGAGGAAATTGTTTTCTTTTTATTTTAAATGAAAAATATTTTCCATAAATTATGAAAAAATTTTAAATATTATATTATATATTAATTATGTTAAATTTTATTTTTAATTTTTTTATTGTTATATATTTTGTTTGATTTTTTTAATTTTATTCTAAAAATTTTAATTTAATTTAATTTAATTTTTATATTAGTTAGTTATAATAGGTGATTTGATCAATTTAGTTTACATATATATAACACAACTAATGAAACCTCAAATCTTCAATTTTTCTTACTTTTTCATGGTGGTTGGATCTTCCTCCTCCAAGCAAATAAAGGTTTTAGAGAAATCATCAACATCCAGCCCAATTTCTTGTCTTGTGACATTCAAGTTAAGTTAGCAAGGATAAAGATATTAATATCAAGAAGTTTATAGAATGTTTTCGTTTTATCAAGTCCATCCATAAAATTATAAATCAATTTAGTTTTTTTTAACTAAAATAGTTTTGATTTGATAAAAAGAATTGATTGATATAAAACGTTAACGCATCATCGATTAACCTACCAGGTCGATTTACAACTATGTCCATGGGAGCCATACTACTAAGATCCAAGGAAAAAAAAATCATCACTAGCCTTCCAAAATACCACAAGCACAAACAGCCCATTGTAATTCCCTGCTCACGTGTTGTGCTAGATCACCACGTAGGATCCACACACCCATCGGAGTAACAGCCAATCAACCACCGGAAAAGTTCCCTTTACAATAATCTAATCCACTACAACCAGTTTCACTCATCCTCAACTCTCTCGCTCTTTTATCATGGCTAACAGAACTGAACCTTTACTGTCAAAACCCG